TTAGGGTACCACCTTTGGTGGAGAATGCTTTCTCCCTTGTTGCCTCCCTCAGGGTATATGTTGGATCTTTGGCATTCTTGAACTATATCAGAATAAAGACCATGGGGGAGAGATGAGAAGATGACATATGATAGCTTGTTATTTGGAACTACTTTAATCACATAGCAATTAAGAATATCAGCAAGAAGGAGAGAGCTAGTAGGAGGAGGGTAGAAGTTTAGGGATCATTCACCCCATCAACTTTTCAGTTTGGTAAACCAGGAAAGAGCCAAGGCATAAGGATCTTAAGTTTTTAGTCTATGGTTTCATGATTATTTGATAAATTATTTGAAATTCATGCCTAAATCTCCTGGCTTTGAATCTTTATTTTTTTTCTATTATGTTTGACAAAAGTAAAAGTTTTTGTAGAGCCGTAAAATTTTTGAGCTAAAATGAGCTAAAGGTATAATAATATCCTCCAGTAACAACTTTATGATATTAATATAATTATTATCATCCACAAAAACAACCAGAACTTGTTGAAAGTCTAATATGTCCCTATCAAGGGTCCTGGAATTGAGCCTGGAGGTTGGCTCCCTGCTCTCCCCACTGCTCATGCTCTTTCTCACTATCTCAATATCTCTCAAATAAGTAAATAAATAAAATCTTTTTAAAAGTTCTCATTTTGAAAAATTAGGAGAGATTTAGTGATTTGTCTAAGAGATCTCAGAAAGTGATATAGATGTGATCTGAACTTGCATATATTTGAATTCTGCCTTTAATATCTGTCATATTGCCTCATATAGTGTTGGTGAAAGTACCTTAACCCTTTACTTGGCAGGCTTTTAATGACTAAACTGAAATAATTTTATTGTGTCTGTGTCACCTAGTCTTTGCTTAAATATCTCCAGGGATCAGGAACTCACTCCATCTTTAAGTAGTTCCTTATATGACAGCTTTTACATTTCTTTCATATAGAACTAAGTAATATGTCTTTTGGCTACTCCTATAATGTTTGGCTTTCTGTATTTATGCAGAATAAGTCAGTTTTCTTTTCTGTATGAAGCAAGCCATCTTTAATGTTTTCTTTGCCAGGCTCAACACTTTTTTTCAGCTATTTTTAAAAAAATAAAATTATTTACCATCTTGACATTAGATGATTAGTGTCCTGAGAAACTATTACAGGCAGAAAACATATAATACTACGAGTATTATAATAACAAGAATAATAACAGCTACCCTTTGTAGAGTTCTTATTATGTGGTATCTTATTATGTGGTATAGTGCTAAATCTTTTATGACTCTTTACAGTAACAGGATGAAGAAATAGCCTTCAGATGCATTGTTGTCTGTCATTTCTGCAGCTTATAAGGGACCACCAAGCTAGAATTTGAACCAAGGTCTGCTTTAACTCCAACTCTTTACTGTGCTGCCTTTGGCTAGCATGGAATTCAGGGTGGCTATGTTACCTCCTGTATTCTGGATGTTCTGGTTATATTAATTTAGTCTAAGAATTTTGTTAATCTTTTTGGCAGAAGTACTATATTTGGCAGCATTTTACTGACTTACATAAAGCTTGGATTCAACTAAAACCTGTAAAACTTAAAAAGATCTTAAATATTTAAGCTTCTGTTTGGTCTGGCCTTACCCTCTTATGTAATTAATTTTCAATATAATTGCAGGACTTTGTGTTCATGTCTACATCTTGGGGATTTCAGCTTAAGTTTCTAGGTTGTCAAGGTAATTTTGAATTGTGAATCTGTCATCTATAATATTAACTCTCCCTCCAGATATATATGACCATGTACATCCTTAATAAGTACCTTTTTTGTGTGTTTATCTAGTTTTTGATACAATTTCAAACAGGTTATGGTTGAAGAAAGAATTTGTATAGCATATCTATTTTTTTCCTCAAACATTATTGCAGTGTACATTTCTAAAGTCTCAGATAAATGTTTGGCCATGCCCATGGTTTTCTTTTCTTACTATTATTAAAATAATATGGTCACTTTATTTTAAGGTTCTAGTTGGAATGATATTGAAGCTATCAGTTATAATATTTGCTTTCTTTGCCTTCTGAGCAAGACATTTATTATAAAGGAAATAGAGAGTTTGGTAGGCGTTCTACTTTTGTATTAGATTCCTGGTAGAGGTATCTGAATAATTTAAACTCCTTTTAACTCTATATAGTATGTTTTGGTACAAGTTTGGTAATGTTTTCTGAGCAAGTATCATACATTTTTCTTTTCTGGATAGACCATCTATGGTTTTGCTGCTGTAGAGATTTTTCTCTTTAGTTCCTTACTTTTATTATTTACCATACTTTACTATTAAATTCATGAATTTCTATATAGGAGTAACTTTTGGAAAGATCACTGGACTTGACTTTGAAAATTTCTGGATTTAGGGACTGACCATGCACTGTGAACTTGGGGAAGTCACTTAAGCTTTGTGGACCTCAGTTTCCTCAAGTATACAAGAGGGATAGTAATATTATTCTTTATCACTTATGATTGCTACAACAGGTCAGGATTTCAAAAATAAGAAACTGATATCTCACATAACAAGAAATCAAAAGGTGGGCAGTCTAGGTCAAGAATGGTAGCTATGGGAACTCCTTAAAAACATTAGAGACTTATTCTCTCCCGATCTTCCATTTCACCATCCTTAATGTGTAGTCCTTTGTCCTCAGGCTTCTTGACTCAAGACACAAAATGGCTACTTTAACTCTGGGCTTCATGTCTATGTTTTAGACATAAGGAACAGGAAAGACTAATATGCTAAAGGAAAAAGACCCTGGTTTTCTTTTAGAGAGGTTTTGTCACTAAGGTTAAGTCCTCCTAAGGATGTCTGCCTGTAGCTTGTTGAGCAGAACCATATTACATGGTCATCCCCTGCTTCAAGGAAAGCTGGGAAATCATTAATTTTTGTGTTTTAGTCTCTATAATATAGGAAAGAAAAGGAGAAGGGATTGTGTGTAGGGTTTGGGTCAGCTAGTCAACAAAATCTGCCACATTCATAGGATTATTAGAGGGATTTAGTGATACAATGTAATAAGTTTTCCTCTTGCTTTCTATTGATGGTCTTAAAAACTAGAATGTATCTTGAATTAATTTATTCTACTTTTGTATTTAAGCCTCAGAAAATCTATGAGAGTATTTACTTGAATGTTAAATGAGTTCACTTTATTGCCTACAGTCTAGAAATTGGCATAAATATGTTTAGGAATAAATACTGCATTGTTTCCAACCAGCTCCCCTGTTTTCATCCAAGATTAAGTAAGAACCATTCCCACATCTGGCTAATTGTTGTGTCAAATCCACATCCTAACTCTCATTGCCATGGGTTAGTATTTATATCTGGACTTCTCTTTTAGGGCTATGTTGATGGGTTTAAAGATTTATTTGTCTAGAACGATGTCCATATTTCATGCCACATGCCCTATTTTCTCTTTGAGCATTGCTTAAAGAACCAAATATTTCCTGTTGGTACGGTTAACACAGGTATTACTTTTTCCCTTCCAAAGCCATTGGTATCAACAGTGGCAGAGCAGTTTGTTCTTTTTTCTTTTCTGTTCTTTTTCGTTTCTCTTCCTTTCCTTCTTTCCTTCTAGCATTTTCTCCTAAAATCCTTCAATTTGCTACATAAAACTCGAAAGTTTCTGCTGCTATCCAGATTGCTGCTGATAAACATTATTTGTTTCTATGATAATCAGCTGAATTATATTTTAATTTGTAAAAATAAATAATTTAAGGGCATCAAAGCTCTATGATAATTGGGAAATGTTCTAGGTGAATGTTTTTGAGGAAGACTATTTTCTGGACAATACTTCTGCTTTGAGTGAAAATCATATTGAAGTATAAAAAGCAGCCTGTCACTAATGGGAAAATAATTGGGAAAGAGACAAATCTGTAAAGGGACTCTAGCCCTACTTTTGCTTTCTTCACTGACCCACAAAATACTTTTAGATTTAAAGAGTTACTAGTGAGGGATCCCTGGGTGGCGCAGCGGTTTGGCGCCTGCCTTTGGCCCAGGGCACGATCCTGGAGACCCGGGATCGAATCCCACGTCGGGCTCCCGGTGCATGGAGCCTGCTTCTCCCTCTGCCTGTGTCTCTGCCTCTCTCTCTCTCTCTCTCTCTCTCTCTCTCTCTCTCTCTGTGACTATCATAAATAAAATAATAAAAAAAATTAAAAAAATAATTACATCTTAAAAAAAAAAAAAAGAGTTACTAGTGAGTCAGAATGCAGCCAGAGGCACATGAAAGATAGCAGGAGAAATCCTGAGCAGCTGACCCATAGAATGGCAGCCCTAATTTGAGCTGAATGAACTGGCTGGGAGATAAATTTGAAAACAGGTCACATGTTCTGAATATACATGCAGGAGCTATCACCTGGTCCTACAGCATGAGGTAGAGGAAATAATCATAGTCACTAGTATTCAGACAAGGTTGTATGACTTTTTTTCCATGGAGAATGGTAAAAGATGTTAAGAAAAGGCCCCCGGAAGTGCACAAGTCCTGGAAGTAGACTGAGAGGAGAATGGAGGAGTGAGAATCTTAAGCGAGGTCGCAGTGAGGTAATAAAATGGAAATTGCCAAAGAGTTTGGAAATAAGAGGAGCCTGGGTGGCTCAGTTGGTTAAGTGTCTGCCTTCAGCTCAGGTCCTGGGATCAAGCCTCACGTCAGGCTCCCTGCTCAGTGGGGAGTCTGCTTCTCCCTCTGCTCTTCCCCTTGCTTATTCTCTCTCTTTCTTTCTCTCTCTCTCTTTCAAATAAAATCTTTTAAAAAAGTAAAAAAAAAATAAGTAAAAGAATTTGGAAATGACCAGAGAAACTTGCATGATGTATCATGAAGTTGGAGACTCTTCAGGTTTATTACTTCTGGATCTCTTAATTCTGATGAAATCCTAGTAGGTTATAAATTCTGTCATTTTAGGTGAAACAAGATTTTGATGGGTATATGGTTTTCTGTTATATTGTTTTGTTTTGTTTTTGCTGCCTGCCTTTATTTCTTTTTGTAGACATTGTTCGAAGTGATGTTGCCCTGGATAAACAGAAAGGCTGCAAGATTGCTCAGCACCCTGATGTTATGCTGGAGCTCCAACGGGAGAAGGCAGCTCAGATGCATCTTGTTCTCCTAAAGGAGCAATTCTCTAATACTTACAGTAATCTCATATTAACAGGTAAGCCTGTTGGAGTCATCTGAAATCTTAGAGCATTATAGATTGTTGGCCTCTATTAATTAATAACTTGATGCTTGGGAGACATTAAAATGGACTCTAGATGAGCCCACATCTGTCTGTCTCTACCCACTATATTCCTTTTTAAATTGTGATGACTTTTGCCTTCCTATAAAAAATATTTCTTGTAGTTTGCAGTATTTTGGCTTGAGGTTATAGGCAACTCAGCATGTGTGTTCTCCAAAGACAGAACCAATGAAAACCTAATGAAGCCTTATAAAAATATGACTTTTTAGATGTGTGCCAGTAGATTTGAAAGAATTACTAAATTTGGTGTCTAAGAAGCTGCTATTTTCCTCTTTCTGTGTATGCCCTTTCTATGAACCCAGTGAACATAAAGATGAAATGTAAAAGAGATAATGATCCACAGGCTGAGCTGAGAATGTTCTATTCCTGGTGGAGTCTGAAAATATCTGGAGAATTTGATTTCTTTTTAAGAGCAAAGAGGCTATGAGACAGCCATACTCCCTTACATCCTTGGTTCAAGGAGGAAAGTGAATTTGTATGAGAGCTCAAAGGAGAAACAACTTTTTGCAGGGCTGCCTGCAAACTTGGCTGGTAAAGAGCATGTGAGTTGCATGCTTTTGTCAAGCTTTAGAGAAGATTCTTAGAGCAGAGCTAATGTGAGAATCATTGAGGACTTGAGATAATTAAGAAGAGCAGTCTAAATTATATCCATTTTCTTGAGCAAGGCATACCTGCATTATATTGATCTAAATAAAGTTAAATAAATCAGAAGTGTCTGTTTTTCCTTGTTTATGAACATTTAAAAATCAAAAAGATGGAATGTCTGATAGGCCATGAACATCTCACACTTATTTTTGTCAACCCCAAGTTAGGAAAATTTTAACTTTTTTTTACAGGCTTCCTGGCATTTCACCAGGAATTGCTGAATGGCAACCAAATTGTTTTGCTCTTGAGAAAGCACAAGTCTTCTCTAACTTTTCATCTTGTACCTGGTGGAAAACCCAATAGAATGAGATGAAAGTCAGATTTAAATGTGGCTTTGGTGAACAGAGAAGAGAATTATGGATTTCATAAGTATAGGCCTTGTTTTTTGCTCTTTAATAGGTCATTAAGGAGGGAAAACTTAAAAGTGATTTACGATCAATGCTTGGTTAGTGAAACTGTTTAAGTTTAGATGTTTGGGAAGAACATAGATTTTTATCCAGATTTCTTTATTCTGTCTCAGGTGTACATATATTTAGTATTTTTAAATTCAGTTATTAGAAATGAAATATTTTTATTTCATCCTTATTTTAATTTTAGGTCCATATTAAAGGGGTCAAACCCCATGCTCTTTAATGTGGCATAGACAGGGCTTAAGGTAATTCTAACCCTAAACTGTGGATCCAGAGTGTGGCTTGAAGGCATATTATCTTTGAAAACACAAGTGTTCTATTGGGTTCAGTGGAATCTTTTCTAATTCTCAGTAACATAATCCCTTTGGATGTTTATTCGCAGTTCAAACTGTTGGAATCAACATTGTCAACTTTTACCCTGACAACTTGCTTACTTTCCACTAAACAAACTTACCCTAGAGAAGAGCCTCTTTCCTGCTCTCACTTCTCCCAAGCTGCTTCAAAGAGTCCTCAGGCCTTTTCCACATTTTTCACCCAAATGCGTGTACAGAGGTGGTACCTTGCCACAGACAGAGCACTTCGTGTGCACCAGTTTGTTTATATGAAAGTTCAGAAGGTTTTGGTCCAGGTGTTGGGAAGAGATGTACTCACTTCAATTTAGCACCAATGGTAAAGCTATTTTAATGTTCTTTAACTAAGTCTTTGATTTTACACAGTGTGGTTTCCTAATTGTTATGAAGTTTAATCCTTGATTTCTTGTATAAATTTTGAGAACATGGTCTCCAGACAGCTAAACATAATATTTAAACATAACTAAACTAACTTTTGTAAATATTTCCCTTTTCAGTGATGAATGTATATTGGTAAGGAGGGTGAGGTTGAAGGGGCAGAGACCTCTCAAATGAACTGACTTTCTATACCAACATGTTCAGAACACCTACTCCAGGATTTCTGCTTGGTGATGTTCCACTTATTTTGTATAACTCTGGCATAATCTTTGAAATGTCTGCAATGAAAGTATTTATGTGGAACAGTATGAGGAAACTGGGCCTCCACAATCTCAGAAAGAGATAATTTTCTTTACACTTCTGCCCTCCCCTCAACCCTTCTCTTCAATTGTTTACAGAATTTCATGTATATGGTTAGCAGTGTATCATAATTGTTTCCTGGTCAGTTAGTGGTATATTTTTTATTTTAAAATTGGATTACTAAGATGGTAGTATGGGAAAAAACTAATAAAGTCAGCATAGTAGGAAATTAATTAAGTGACTGAAATATCAGATAGCTAAAAGCCTTTTTAAAATGATGGGTGTTGTGCTTGCTTCGGTAGCACATACACTAAAATTGGTGGGTGTTGCCTCCACCTCACCAGCAAGCCCTCATTCTTAGTTATTCCATCCCTTAACTAACGTGACTGTCAGTGTTGAGGTGTGAGGTATGTCTTCACATTCTGCATTCCGGCTCATGATCTCTCTTAAACAAGCCACCCCGCAGATGCAGGCAAATGGTATTCTAGCTTTGAAGATCTTCTGACCATTCAATAAAAGGAAACAACTCTGTAGTCCTTAGTGACAGCCCAGTTACAGAAATTAATAATATTTCTTTAATGTGTATATCTTATTGAAGTATTCCTCCTTATAGTTTTGGAAAAGTAGATTGTATTTTTGCATGGTATTAAACATGTCTTAATATTTTCATGTGAGTGATTTACATAGCAATGGAAATAATATTAGCCTCATCTAATCTAGAGGGTTTTTGAAATAAACTTCAAGGCTTTCAGAAGATGATGGGGTAATACCAGTAGAATATCAGTGATAGAACTATTTTAAATGGTGACGAGTAACATGATGCACTTTTCACACTGACTCACAACACATGGATGTATGCTTGTCCTGTAGCTTCCAGTTTGTCCTGGAGCTTTTAAGAAAGAACAGGGACTGTTCCTCCATTTCTTTGTGTTCTTATGATTCTTAATGTAATAATGTTCTGTATATTTGTTGGAAATATTCTGCTGTGTATATGATGAATGAATTCATTTGGGATAATTTTGACATCTAATTAATAACTTTCATAGGTTCAGATTCAGGTTATTCATTTCTCCTCTCCTTTTGCCATCCCTGTACTTTTTTGAGATGTAAATAGAACTTTTGTGGTAGATACCTATAATCAAATGAAAAAGTCGGCCTTAAGGGGCAATGTATTTTCTAGGGTTCCATTTAGAACATAAACTTCTGGAGGACAAGGAATATCATATTGTACAGCATTCTGCATAGTTATATAGAGCATAGTGAATGATCTTGAAATGAGGTCAAATTAAAATGTATTTGTGCTGTGAAGTCATTGTCAACCCTCTATAACCAGGCAGCCTGAACTGAAGCCATAATAAATAGATGGCTTTACCTAAGATGCTTTCCAGTGAGGACTATTGTTATGTTAATTGCTGCCACTTTTTGTTTTGTACCCCCTCTTTCAGTCTTAGATTCCGAAGTGAATTAGAGTCCCTATAGTCAGCTTTACTGTGTTACTGTGGCAAATGAATTGAGCAAAAGAAGCTCGCACTTCTGTGTTGTGGCCCATTCTTCTAACTTTAGTTGAACCAAGAGCTCAAATCAGTGGAATGAGAACTGTTCTTTCAGTTTCCATAAGTCATAATGCTCAGAGGACAATTTGCAGGTCTTTTTAATGTTACATTCTGTGGTATTGAAGATAAGGTACTTTATTTAACTATTTCCCTGTTAATGTACATTAATTTATATACATGTTGACACATTTATTTCTGTAGAATAGATTTCTCAAAGAGGGATGTGTGGGTCAATTGTATTTTTAAATTTTACAAAATAAGTTTTTTTGTGGTATAATTTATAAGAAAACATCAATTTTGACAAATGTATATGTCATAGAGTCAAATAGCCACCACTACCATCAAGATACGGATTTCCCTCATCCTAGAAGTTTTCTCATCTCCCTTTGCAATCTCCTTCCCTTCCTCCAGTCCTTAGCTGTATCTGAACTGATATTTGTTCCTAAAAGTCAAAGAAATGGAATAATAAAGTGGTTGTGTGTCTGATTTCTTTCACTAAGTATAATTTTTTTGAGATTCATTCACTTGCTGCATATTTCAGCATTTCATTCCTTTTACTTGCTGAGTGATATTTCATGTTGTGAATATGCTGCAATTTATTTATCCATTTCTCTGTTGATGAACATTTGGTTTGTTTCTAGTTTTTGGTGATTATGAATAAAGCCACTATAAACGTTTGCTCTCAGCTCTTTGTGTTGACATATTTTTGCTTTTCTCTTAGGTAGTGTGGTACCTAGGAGTGGGAATGCTTGATTTCATGGTGTCTGTTTGACTTAAAAAAAGCTGTCAGATTGTTTTCCAAAGTGGCTGAAACTATCTTATATCCTATCAGTATGTGAGAGTTCTAGTTCATCCACATTTTTGCCAACAATTAGTATTGTCTGACATTTAAATTTTAGCAACTCTAATAAATATATAGTATATCTCATGCTTTTAATTTGCAATTTACCTTATGACTAATAAGGTATTAGCAGCTCTTATGTGTTTATTTGCCATCTATATATATTCTTTGGTAAAGAAGCTTTTGCCCATTTAAAAAAATAATGAGTTTTGTTTTCTTACTATTGAGTTTTGAGAGAGTTCTGTATATATTTTGTCTATAAGTCCTTTTTTCAGATATGTGATTTGCAAATATTTTTTTTCTGTGACTGTCTTTTTCCTTTTTCCTTTTTTTTTTTTTTGAGAGGAAGAGGGTTGAGCGAGAGGGAAAAAGAGAATTTTTTTTTTTTTTTTAGACATGGGAAAGAAGCAGAGTGAAAGAGAGAGAGAGAGAGAGAGAG